CGGAGAGAAGAGAGGGCAATATCCTCTGTTACTCCCGGGCGTGGGATTTGCTGGATGCCGGTGGCAACGGCGGTTTACAGCTCCCTAAATGTCCCGTTCCCTTCTCTCCCGTTCCCCAATGTCCATCTCAGCCGTGAAGGTGTCCCAGCGCCCATGGCCGTGCCGGGGCTCCAGGCGGCCGGCTCCCGGAGCAGCCATGGCAGCGGGGCTGTGCCCTCAGCCCACACTGCCCCCTCCCAGTGGCCCCTCTGGCCCAGTTCACGTCTATCCCAGTGCTCTATCCCAGTTCATCCCTATCCCACGCTTCCATGTCCCGGTATCACCCCGTACCAGTCCCACCCCATGGCAATGCCAGTTCCCCGTGGCCCATCCCGGTACCCCTGTCCCGGTACCGCCCCGCTCCCGCTCCCCTTCCCACCCAGCGCCGCCTCCCCGGGGCCGTGGCCGCGCATGCGCTCGGCGGGCCCGCGGGGCTCGCAGCGCTGCCCGAGCTCCATCGGAGGCCCCGGAGCGGCGGCGGCGGTGGCGGGGCCGGGCCGGGCCGGGCCGGGCGGGCGGTGAGTGAGGGAGTGAGGGCGGGCGGGGGGCCGCGGGCCCGGGCGGGGGCGCTGCCGCCATCTTGAGGGGAGGGGGCGCGGATGGCGGGGCCGGGCCGGGGCTCCGCGGGGAGCAAAGTGCGTTTAAACCCCCAAAAAACGGGCAAACACCGCAAACACAGCGACGGACGCCAGCCGAACGCGGGGTTAAGTTCTTCGCACGCTGCGGGGCACAGTCCTAAAGTATTTACTGGTTGTAARGTTTATTTTGCCCAGTTTTGACCCAAGAAGTGATGGAGAAAATCGGGGTTATCCCGCCTGGACCTCCTCCGGGCTGTAACAACTCAAAAGTGTTAACAAACATAAATCCTGCACTACAGTGCAGTAAAAACAGTTCTTGGAGACTTACCCCAAACCAGAAAGATTTAAGTTTGAAAACGGAGATTTTACATGACCGGAAAGACAAAAACAAAAAACCAACAAACTTTCTGGCAGCGAATTCAAAGTGCAGAACTAATGGAATGGGGATTTTGAGAGGGGAAGTCGGTGCCGAATAAATAGAGGGATAAATATAATCCTTCAAAAGTATCGATCGGCTGCGGGTAGGGATCGGTGTGGGACAATCTGAGTGATGTTTGGTGTCAGGAGAAAGGGATTAGGACAGTTTTATGGACTCCTGGTGCTGCAAGGAATCGGATTAGATTTATACTATGAAAACATTTAATTTATTCAATTACTGCCTAGATAAATTTTAAAAAATGGCCTGTAACTGGGATTAAGGGATAAAGAGCTCTGATATTTCGTGCCAAGTTGTAAAAKACCTTTCTGGTTTGTGTTTTATTATATAGTAAAACAGAAGTAAAAAGGAGGGAAAACAGGGATTCGGTGCTTCAAACTTTTCTTCCTACACAGCAATTAAGGACAGTCTGATGTGGTGTCATCAGTGTTTAGCTTCTCCACTTTATGTTCTATAATCTRCTTAGATTATACATTTTTGAGGATGGGAATGGTCTTCTCCTCAGTGAGTTTTCCTGCTTYGTGAGGGGAGATAGGTAATAATGATTAATAGGAGTCCCCAGGGTAGTTTGCTGAACTGTAGTCTTATAAAGTAATTACAGATGCAGTTAAAACAGAGGGCGTTTTTGGCCTCTGTGCACTAGTTTTGCCCTAAAATTGATGGCACTTTATACTGCAAGTAATCCCATTAAAGTTGCATGTGTGTGAAGTGAATTGTAATTGCTGGTGAGTGCCAGGGTGGAATCAGAGCTGAATTTGAGATGCTGAGGACAMCTGGTTACAACTGCTAGGCAGGTTGTACAGGGCCAGCTCCATTTGTCTTGGCCAGAGGTGATTTATCCTGTTTTTGGGGGGTTTYATTGCCATAATGAACAAGTTGCAGGAGGGTGAGTGGGTACAGCCAGATGTGCACTGCAGACTCCTCAGAACCCAGGGGGTGTTTTCCTAGCCCCAGCCATGCTGTTTGTCAGCATTTTTACCACCAATTCTTTATTTACTGAAATTTTAAGGCTTTACAMTGATTTTTAAAAGTAGCATCTTGAATTTATTTAAAGCAGTGTGCAGTCTTACTTTAAAATATGCTTAAAATTGTGTGTGTCTATATGTAGGAGAAGGTCTGGCTGTCCCTTACCTCACTTCTATCTTTGTGCAAAGCTTTTAGTGCAGATACTTCTGCTTTTGATGATATATTCCATTGGTGCTGAGGGATGTGGGTTTGATGGTGAAGCTTCAGTATAAACTCCTTGTCCTTTTCCATGAGTGCTGCCATTTTTTGAGAGATGAGATGTGCTGCAAGCCTGACTCTGGGACGTGGGGTCTGGTTCTCTCAGGGTGGTGATGGAGATCATAAAATCGTGGAATACCCCGAGTTGGAAGGACCTGCAGGGATCGAGTCCAACTCTTGGCACAGGACACMCCAACAGTCCCACCATGGGTGACTGGGACATGGATAAAGGTGTGGAGTGTCCATGTGCCAGTCCATACCTCACCTCTGTGCAGGAAAGTGTYCTAGAGGCCTAAATCCCATTTTCAGAATTGCTCAATTTGAATAYCAGCAAAATATAGATGAACTGGATCAAAACGAGATTGACCCACAGCAGTGATTACTATCAGTATTTATAGTCTCTGTGGAATAACAGATGACTCCTGAGTTGTGGTGTTGGTTCTTCTTCCCCACACACTGTTCCCTTTCTCCCTTATTTTCTATAATTTATAATCTATTTCAACCTTTCTTAAAGCCCTCCAATTGTGCTGCATGGGAAGAAGAGTGGAAGAAGAAGACGATGACTCAGTGGGATTAAAAATTAGATTGGTGACTTGGGGGGAAAATGACCAAGTGTGTCCTTGTTAAGAATGGCTGGCAACTGCACACTCCTACACGTGGCATCAATTAGAGCCAAAACCAACAGAGATCTGACCAAACTGTTTCTCCTAATTAGCATCACTCACAGTGCTCCATAGGTGAGGTGTGAAGGCAGATGTGCTTTGCTGAATTTGGCAAATTATTTTCCAGAGAATGGTTCAGCTTACTGGTAAAATACTTTACCCCCAAGGAAGGGGTGTTTTATTATTAGGTTTTGCATCCTTCAGCTCATCTGGTTTTTATTGGTTTGATTTTTTGATTTCTGATTGAGTCCAGCAAAGTGAAGGGATAAATGCATGGTAGAGCTAAGCAAACAGGTAGAGGTTGTATTCATTAATCACACAGGATTTGTTATGACAACCGTCTTTATACTGTAGCTTTTAAACTTTTTGAAAGGCTGAGAGAAKTGAGATTGTTCAACCTGGAGAAGAGACATAATTGCAGATTTTTAGTGCCTGAAGGGAGCCTACRGGAAACCTGGAGAGAGACTATTAYAAGGGCCTGGAGCAACAGAACAAGAGGGAATGGCTTCACATTATGAGAGGCAGGTTTAGATTGAATATTAGGAAGGAATTTTTCTCTGYGAGGGTGRGGAGGCCCTGGCACAGGGTGSCCAGAGCAGCTGTGGCTGCTCCATCCCTGGAWGTGTCCAAGGCCAGGTTGGATGGGGCTTGGAGCAATCTGGTCTAGTGGAAGGTGTCCCTGTCCATGACAGGGGGTGAGRCTGGATGGGATTTAAAGTCACATCCAACCCCAGAGCATTCCAGGATTCTGTGAATCTAGTAGGTCATTCCTGCAGAGTATGAAGGTTAAGATGTGTGATTTCTGTGTGGTGTTCTGGATTTCTGGGTGATGTTCAGCAGTGYGTTTAAGTGTTTTAGGGGCTACAGGTGACTCCCAGGGACTGGGATCAGCAGTTCCATGGTTTCAGGCTTGGAGAAGACATTCCTGGGCTTCCTGGCTGAGCCTGTCGGGAGTGAGGCTTGTACAGAGTTTGGGCAGTGGCGAGGTGCACTCCCCAGAGCCACCRTTCTTCCCAGTCAGGCGGAGATGAGAGGTGGGGAATGCAGCTCCCCACCAAAGGCCCGTAGTGAAAGCCATAAAACTGGAAKTACCCTGTGTTTGTGCTCCTCACTTTCCATAAAGGAGCAGAAAGCTTTAACTCTGTGGGCATGGATGAATGTTTTGTGCCTTCTTTCACATCCCTCATATTCTGTCTGGAATAGGTCAGAATGCTTTCCAGCATGGCACGGAGTGCCTGTAAGGGCAGGAGAGAGGAACTGCTGCCGTGTGGCTGTCGCAGTGTCACTCAAACCTACAGAGACTGGCAGCAAAGTGCATGTGGTGGCAAAGGGGGACAGTCAGACAAGGGAAGAGGCAGCACCATCAGGTGTGCTGATCCGTGTGCTCTGTGGGAGCGCTGAAATGCCAGCTGGGACTGGCATCGGCAGCCAGAGGGACTGTTTGTGACATGGGCACCGTCCAGGAGCCACAGCCTGGGCCAGTGCTCTTCTCTGGACTGCTGAAATAGATACGGGTATGTGTTTGTGTGTGTTTGACACAACTGTGTCAGCACACCAAAATGAGGAGCTTACAGGCTCCAGCACTGCRTTGGGTTTCATTTCAGGATGAGCTGGTGGAGTTTGGAGTAAACTCACAATTTTTCTGTCTTGATCCCTTGAGCTGATTGAGGTTGCATTTCCATGGTGCTGTTTATTTGTCTCCCAGTACAACAGCAGGTACCATAATCCCTATGTTCGTATGTGCTTAGGGGAAGTTTGGAAGGGCTCTGTTGTACAAATGAGCAGGACAAACCTCAGAAGACCAAAGTATTTAAACTTGTGGTCCCGTGGCAGAGCTGAGACAAAAAATGTTTGCTTCTGCTCCGTACCATCCAAAGCATCCCTCTCCCTTTCTAGATTCTTTTCCTCCTCTAATCTTTCAGAGCAATATTTTCTTTGACTTGTAGTTACAATTTTTCTCTTTTCATGAGAAACAAAAATTAATAGGAAGTGCAGAGGGTGGAGCTTGCAATTCCTCAATTCTGAATTTTGTCTTTTTTTTCCCTTCACTGATGTAGACAGTCTCTTCATGCCGTTAAATGTTTGCTGGTGGCTMCTGACACTTTCTCTTGAGGCATTGGTACAATTCCATTGCAGGCTCTGAAAGTTCATTTCAGTCCCTGACTGATGAGGTTGCTGAAGGTGAGACTGGATTTTTTTTTTTTTTTTTTGGTAATGGTATTAGTTCAGTCTTGCAAAATACTACTTGCCCAAGGTGAGTAATAGGTTTTGTCGGGTTATTAAAGCATCATCTGTCATTATCACAGCAAAGCACAGGTGAGGTGGCTGCATCCTGAGTGTTCCCAGCAGTTCTAAGACCAGTTTAGYTGTCCTGCAAGGAGTCGTGGTGGGTTTTCTGTTTCTGTTGAAGCTGCAGCTCTGTTCCTCACTGGTGGCACAGGAGTGCCTGGCAGATGTCCCACATCAGGTGTCAGACACTGCTGTGGAGCTGCCAGGAGATGGGGGATGCACAGAGCTCTGAGTGCACAGACACTGCTCTGGTGAGGAGCAGCTTTGCCCAGCTCCCACCCGCTTTCAGGGCAGAAGGGTGATTTGTAAGTCAGTTATTCCCAGAACAGTGTCATACAGTTCTCTTGAAGCCAGCTGCTTCTTGAATGGGATTTTTCCTCATGGTCCATTGAGGCTTAGCCAGAAGGGCTGCAAACTTCATGTTTTCACTTGATTTACAGTCTTTGGGCTTTATCACACCATTGCATTCCTCACCATAGAGASACCCTGAAATCCTCATGTCATTGGAAATGATCCTGGCAGCACCTGAAATGGGATTTCTGTTGAAATGTTTCTTTTCCCTTTAAGTCAGATGGTTTTTATAGAAATAGAGTGAACCCCCATCCACCCATTTAGCCTTCACATTTAGTTGGTGTGAACTTGTGCCCTTTCATCTTCCTTTTTTTTTTACTTTTGGTCTCCTAACAAAGGTAAGATGGATGTTAAAAGCTGAAGCTGGTTTTCTGCGGTAACAATGAGGTGGTTTCCCAAAGCTGCACTGGTTCAGGGGAAGAAATGTGATCAAAACCTGAGTGTTTCTGACCTCTTCCTGTGGATTCCCTGTGTAAATATACAGAGGTCTGGATGGGAGCATATTAATTTGGCTGCATTATTTCTGCCAGCCTGGCAATCATTTATATTTTCATAAATCTGAATCTGCAGCTTGGGACTGAATGACTCATCTCAGTTTTGCAGTACCTTTGGCCTTAATGTTTCTGAGCCTTAAAATGCTAAAGATTAAAAGAAATCACAAATTGGAACAAATGAGGAATGTTCAGGCCTGACTRTAGTTCCTCTAAATGTTTCATGTTAGTTTCTGCTCTTTTTAATTGCATTGTTTACTTCCTTTTACTGAATTATCTTGATTTTATTGTAGGTTTTACTGATAGGGAGCATTATAAGAAAAGCAATTTCTTCATTATATTTTTTATGGGTTTCACTGGATTTATAAATGAGATGAGAAAGACTGATTGTTTTATCAGCTCTTCTCTGGTTAAGTTCGTTTTCTACACTGTGATTTTTGACAGATTTCCTGGCCCAGTTTGAAGTACATTCTCCAAGTTAATTACTTCTGTCCAAGTAACTTCCAAATGCCTCCTCCCAGAGGGAGCTTTGTAAATAGTCTTGGTGCTTGAGCTTCTTTATTTTTAAAGCCTGAACGCAAAGGGATGGGTTTGCGCTTGTTGGAACTGACATCCAAACATTTACTACAGACAAATGTTTATAGATGTACAAGGCTACATCAAATATTAATATATTCAATACCACCCGACACAAGGCTCATTTAGTCCAAYTCCTGCCTCTCCCTGCAGCCGTGGTGATGTGGATTGTTCAGTGACCCTGAACACGGACACCAGCTGCAGTTGTTCCTCACCTGCAGTTTGGATAAGCCAGTGGAAGCTGCAGAACACCTCCAAAGATTATCCTGTGCTACCCAGAGATATTTGCTGTTGCCATTTGCAAACGTCTGTCCTGCTTTTGACCCAATTAAAATAATCTTTAAGAGTTGTGATGCTGGAATTGGAGCTGCAGGGATGCTGAAGCATCCTGTGTTATCCTGCATCAGATCCATGGGTCTGCCTTTGGCTGAATGAAACTCCCACTTTGAACCTGTAGGTAGAAAGCTGAGCGCCTGAAAGTCTTCAGGTCAAGAGTGGAGTTCAGGAGCAAACACAACTGTGAACCAGAACCCTATCAGTGAATCTGAACCAAGGTCTGATGGGCACAAACCTGGGCTTCTGTGTTAGTTAGAGGAGCGGGAGAGTCTTGACATTCACAAATTACCTTCARCTGTTCTGTTCCATTGTGCTGAAAACAAATACATGAGATTGCCCTCAAGTCTGCAAGTTGTGAGTCTTGGGGAGGAAAAGATCAATTTCAAGTGAAATAAATAGGAGCTAATGGAATTGAGAACTCCAAAAAATCAAGTTGTTGTTATCACATCAGSCATTCAGAATGGGGCTCCTGACATTTGACAAGTGTTGGTAATCTTCCTTCTCCTCCTCCTCCTCCCTTTGTGCAGTGGGGAAGGGCTGAGAAGGACCATAAGCTATGAGGAAACAATTCTGCCAGCAGACATGGATAAACGTTCATGCTCGGAGTGTTGTGAGATCAGTCTACCCTTGCATAAAACAGGGAATTGGTCCACTGACTCCTTTGGGTTATTATTTTGCAGTGGCCTGGCTTTTGCCCTGTGTTTAAGTCATTGCACTTCTGCTCCTTAACCACTAGCAATGTTCCCTCACAGAAACAGCTTCACTTTTACTGATTCCTCCTAATGACACAGCATCAACAAAGCACCACGTTATTTATTAGACTGAAAGACACCAAATARTATTGTGTTGTTTTATATTAGATGATCAAGTGTTAGAGCCCTCAGTACCTCAGTTAGGGGGTCTGGTTGGAATGTTCAGCTGGAACACAACTGGCTGCCCAGGATGCTGCTTCATCCTTAAGATGCCAAACTGGTTTTTTTGGCATGTAGTCCTTTTCCCCTCTCTCTCTTKCTATATATTCTATATTCTTCTTGTATGCACAAAATGCATTTTTCTTTAATTCCATTCRAACACATCTCTGGAAGGACAGGTTATTTCTGGAGTGTTTGTGTGTATTTCCAGAATTTAGGAATGAGGGATAGAGCCTTGGGATGGAACTGGCAGTGACCTCATGATCAGGCAAGCCTCATCCTCAGAYCAGAGACTGTTAGTAAAGATGCTCATTGTTTTTCTAATACAAATTGATGTGTTCTGGGATTTGGTTTCCCCAGCTCATCTGGCCATAGGTGCATCCTGTGATTATGTCAGGAGGGAGCCACAGCCTCTGTCTGCTCTGGTTTGGGCAGAACCAGAACTGTTCATTCGTGTCCAGGAGASCTCTGTTCCTGCAGTGCCATGGCACCTTCCCCATCTCCCAGRCATGGCAACTCTTTCTGGAACAGCACGTGGAGCTTGGAAATCCTCCTTTGCACTGAGCTGTCCCATCAGCTACAGCAAGGAATCCCTGGAATCTGCACCAGGATGCCACTGCTCTTACAATGTTCGAGGGAGGTGAGCAGGATGGAATCCTACAGGAAGCTGTGTCCACTTAGAATTACTATTTCTTCAAAATCGGATGTTTCTCTTTGTTCTCTGTATTGAAATGAAAATGATGTCCTGTTTCCTTGGGGCTGCCAGAGGAGACCATGAGCCATTTAGAAGCAAGTCCAGCATCTTTGAAGCTTTAAGAAATACAAGCTTTAGATAAAGAGAGGGAAGAATATTTGGGATGAGGCTTTGATAGGGTGCTGGAGGCAGGATCCTGAGCCCAGGAAGCATGCAGGAGTAAATGGAGGGTGCTTCATTCAACAAATTGTCCTGCTTCAGAGTGAAGGAAATGCTTTTAGAGTGAGGTTTCAGTGAAGTGCAGATAGCTGAGAAAAGATGTCAGGCTAATGAAGTGCTTGGAATAAAAACTTTGGAGCAGGGCATGCAGATGCAACCACCTTTGACTTGCCACTTTCATTCTGGAGTTCAGTAACTCCATAATGCAGACAGTAAAGAAGATCAAGGAGTGAGTAATCTTTTCAGCCATTTTCTCATCAGAAAGGTGGTTTTTAGGTTTTTTTTTTTTTTAATGCTTGGTTTCATTTGCTGGTCATGACTAATAAAAGATGCACAGATACACTTAATTTAACACACTTTAATAATTTTATCTGGACATTTCACAGTGTTCACAGCCTGAGGAATGTTTTATGCTCCAGGGATGAATGTCAGAAGTCTGCCGTGTATCATTCCTTTTCCAAAAATGCCCTGTGTGTGTCTGGATTTCCTGGGATGTCCTTAGCAGGACAGGTTGTGTGTGTGCAGGGCTGTGCTGGAGCAGGAGTGAGTGTCCAACCCTTCCCTCCTGCCCCCGGTGGCACAGGGAGATGGGAATGGGGGTTATGGTCACTTCATCACGGTGTTGTTTCTGTCACTGCTCAGGGAGAGGAGACAGAGTCCTTCCCTGCTCCAGCAGGAAATTCCTCCCATGGGAGAAGCTCTTCATGAACTTCTCCAGCCTGAGTCCATCTCACAGACAACAGCTCTCCACAAACTGCTGCAGCATGAGCCACCCTTCAGGCTGTTAGCATCACTTACTTCGTAAATCACTCATTTCCTCTGATTAAATAACTCACTGTTTCAGTAGAGCTCCCTCACAGACAGAATCATGGAATCGTWAAGGCTGGAAAAGACCTTGTCAACCAAGATGTGCCTGAGAGTGCTAATGGAGACCAGTGCTCCAAAATTAAAGCTTTACAAATAAAAGGGGRTTTTCTCCACTGAGGTGCTGTGGCAGCACAGAGATGATAATTCCATCCCTCACAATGGCATACTGAGTCTCAGTTAATGAAAGTTTTTAAAGGATTTTGACAGAACTCATTGCCTGAAAGGTCTTTTAACATTTTAATTTAATAGTTGCYTTTTTCTTTGCTTCTGCAGTGCCCAGACAAGCCGTGCCCTGCTCTGATTCCCAAACCTGTGAGCAAATGGATTGCTTTGAGAATGGAAAGTTTTGTACTCAAACGGGCTCCCAGCAGCACAGGGAGAGGTAAAGAAATCCCAGATTTTTCCCATTTTTCATTTGAAAGCATTTAAAGGGAACATTGTGTTGCYGTGACTAGAATGAACCCCTCAGACCAAGTGTTCTTTATCCAGGAAATCCTGCAGACTCCATTCATTTCCTYAGCTCCTCAGCCCAGGCCTCCTCATTCTAAGAGATTCAGAAATACTGGGAACTGCAGAAATAATGTTGTACTTTTAATTTTATTTTTTATTTTGAATATTTAATGATATCAGAGATATTCCAGATAATTGCAGAAACGGGGGAAATAATAGAAATCTTACTACCAGCAGTGGCTGTCAGGTGACTGAGGCTGGCAGACCTGTCAGACGTCTCCGGAGGAAGAGAAGATTGCCTCTGGATTCTGAGGATGAGGAGGAAAATGCATATGAGGATGAGGTAAATGAGGTTGCATGTACTTTCTTTTAAAGAAAGCTGTGAAAAGCAGGGGCAGTTTGTCTCAGAGCTCTTGTGCAATGCAAACTGGGCTAAGGGAGATTGTTCTGTGCCCAGGGAGTGGTCTGGGTCTGATCCTGGTTTACATCAGTGGTGGGAATATCTGTTCTGAGGAGTCACAGGGGTGAATGAATAGCTCAGGTGAAGTGAAAGTCAAGATTTCACAGTAATAAAACCACATGTCTCTGGAATAACTATGCTCAAATATTGTTGTGTGMTATTGAAGATTAGTGTCAAACCACAGGGTTTGTTTGGGTTTTATTAGGTATTTGTATGGACATTCAGTGCACTACCAGGAACCTGTATTAGTGGTGCATAAATGAAGTACCTCAATCCTGAGCTGACCTTTCCTTAAATTTCCAGCAGCCCCTGACTCCCTCTCGGGGCTCTTTGTGCCCCACTGTGCTCTGCTCCCACCCATCAGTCTCTCTGAGCCATGTTATGTTTGTTGATATAATGTGTGGGGTTCTGTGCAGCAGAGCCACTGGGGTACGTGTTCTTGGGCTGCAGCCTCTGCTCTCAGGAGCACTTTAACTCATCGTCTTGCTCAGCTTTTCTCTGTGGTGTGAGTGAGACGTTTTAAGGGATRGATGTTTTTTGAAGTCCTTGCAGTCTCTCTCTTCCCCCTTTAGAAATTGCCACCCTGTCCCTTCTGGGGAATGTTTGGCAGGCAGCTTTGTATGGCACATTTTGCCTGGTTTTGGTTTGCTTTGAGAAATGGCAGCCTGGGAGAAATCAAACCCGAGTCTGCAGACACACAGAAGAAATGGGAATGACAGTTGGGTTTGGAGTGTGACACAGACAGACCACGTTGTCTGGGGTGCTCCTCTATGACAGGAGTTACTTGAAGCTTCTGCTTTCTTCAGGGCTTCATAAATTCCATTTTMCCCCTGTATCCATTCCCTGGCATAGATGGATGTAAGAAAGGGAGAGGAAAAAGGAGTGTTCCATTAAGGCTGCTGAGTGAGCAGCAAATCCTGCATTGCAGAAAGCAAATCCTCTGTATTGTAATGCAGATTTTGGTCCTGTGCTGCTCTTAGCAGCCCTTTTTAAATGAACTTCAGTAGCATATGTTAAATAACTTGTAAAGCACTTTGGATTAGTTATCTAGGTAACATTCCCTCCTGATGTTCTTGCAGGGTTATTCAAGGGACAGTAATGCTGACTAATAGTCCTGTTAGTTACCTGTTACATCTGTGTTGTACCTGCATTGTGAGATAATCAGAGGGAGGGAAAAACGATCTTGCTAAACTTCTTTTTAACATATCTGTGTCTAGGAGAAGAATAAATCAAATAATATGAAAAGCCGCAGAAACACTAAACCAATAAAACAAGGTGAGCTAAGCTCATAGTCTCTTTTCTTTAATGTTTATAGATCTTTTGTTTAGTAGCTATTATAAAGTGAATAATAATAAACAGAAGAGGAAAGGACAGGAGAGTTCATTTCACATTCAGAACAGCTTATTAGGTACATAACCCTCTTACCACAGCTGTGGAGGTGTATTAGCAGGAATACTGTGGATTTGCCTGCATGATGGGCACAGGGTGAGGATCTGGAAGGAGACAGCTTCATCCAAAGCTCACTGAAGACAATAAGAATCTTGTTTCTATTGACTTTGGAGAGCTTCAGTCACAGCCTACAGTGCTAAACAGAAAAGAAATTGTAAACAATGTGATTGATTGTAGAGTATGAGTTCAATGTATTATATACYTTAAATTAGTTAGTATGTAACTGGGATTTTTAATGTACATTTAGAATGTAATTTTTTGTGTGTATGAGTGTGGTTCTACTAGAATGAATCAAAATTGTTGTTTTCATCATCTGGGAGCTGCYTCTTTGTAGATGCATTGTGTTATTAGCAGGTTATAAATACATGTGTGTACATACATAGAAAAAATTTTGTGAACTAAGCACAAATTAATGTGGTTTTTCATTTATTTTTCTTTAGGCTTATTTGARCTACAATTATATGCTTCTCCATGCTACCTGTTCATTTATATTTAACCCCTTATTCCTCTGAAAAATGTCAGGAGGAAGAATTAGTTCCCACAATTTTAAGTTATTCTGTCTCATGCAGACTTCCCATTGGCACCTTTCCATGGGCAGCTTGCCAGTGATCCAGGTGCCACAGTTTATTTGACCTATCATGCAATAAATGTTCATTTCCTGAGGAATGACCACGGTTTTCCTGTTGCTGGAATTCCTACCTSTCCTCAAAAGCTGAGTAACACTGCCTCCTCTGGGGTGCCACAGCAAACACGGGAGAAGGAGAGAGGAGGAGAAGAAGAGCCAGAGGGCTGGAGAAAAATGTTCATTTTCTCTGTTTCTGATTAATTAGTGCTTCCTGGGAAGAAGAAGGTATGGAACTGGTCTTCCTACTTGGAAGAGGAACAGATGCCAGCTGCTCCCCAAAAGCTGTTCAGAGAGGTTGGCAGCTTTTTCCATTCTCTTRTTCTGTTTTTCTGAGGCAACATCACAGGATTAGTGGCAATCACAGGGTTACTGGCTTGGTGAAGGTGGGACTGGAGACCACCCTCAAGCCAGCACTTTGGTTTCTGAGTTGTTTTGGTACAAGCAGGCAGTGAGTGTTTGTTTTTTGCCCTGGGAGCATGATCCCAAACCAGGGTGCAAAAACTGCTGGCTGAATCTCACAGATAACCYACAGCTGTTTTGATCTGCTTTCCTCTGGACCAGTGAGCTTTTAGGAAACTTCCAAGGACTGCTGGAGAGGGACAGCCTAATGTCTGTCACATCCTCTGTGGTTTTCCAGCAGCTCTTCCAGCSCTTTTCTGTGGGAAGCTGTGAGTCTGTTGGCTCAGGAGTGGTGTGGGTTCACGAGGGAGGGTGAGCATTGTGCCACACACAGTGGAGGTTCCACAGGGTGAGGTCAGCCTTGCTGAAGCTGCCTCTGCACCCCAGTTAAACCTTGCTGAAGCTGCCTCTGCACCCCAGTTAAACCTTGCTGAAGCTGCCTCTGCACCCCAGTTAAACCTCTGCACCCCAGTGCAGCTCCCAGTGAGCTCTTCAGAACCAAAGACTGTTGGTCCTTACAGAGGGAGCTGAACAGGAAGGTCAGGTCCTCTACTGGGTCATTTGCAATCCTGGTTCAGGACTGGGATTTTAAACCTTTGCTCTATTTCATCTGTTTCACTTGGATTGAAACTGCAGGTAAGTAATACCTGTAATACCAGCACCAGTGGGGGAAGGATGACAAATGCTTTCTGGAATAACTGTAAAACTGGGCTGCAGATCAAACCTGCCTTGTCCCTTTCACCATTTGAAGATGACAARTTACCTTTGGGGAGAGTCTGGACTGACGCAAAGTAGTTTCAGCTTTCCCAGCTCTTTGGTTCTGCATTGAGCTTGGAAGGGGATTCTTTTGTGTTTGAGRAAAGCTCATTTCTGCATCTCTTCAAAGATGTGTTCATAGCTAATTGCAGCAGTTCAGTGTTTTTGAGAGATTAATTAGAAAATGAGTAAATGTGAAATACGGTGATGCCTTTTCTGATCCTGAGTCTGCACATGTCTGTTGGAGCAGCAGTCACTTGGGGATGGAATTTTCATACTTGAGTTGAAAATTTTGTAGCCTTAAATATAAAAATTTGAAGCCTTAAGTATCTGATGTCTGCTCTGCAGTAGATTTTGTATTTAGGAATTAATTACAAATGTTTCTTTCCCMCTTATAGTATCAGTCATTCCCACAAGGCCGAAATGGATTTAAAGTTGGAATGAAATTGGAAGGGGTGGATCCTGAACACCCCTCTCGATTCTGTGTGCTCACAGTGGCTGAGGTAGTTGCTTTTCTTATCTTTGAATCCAGAAGTCCCATGTACATTTAGATTTTTTTTCAATAAAGAGTAGAAACATAATASTACTTTCGTTAGTTAATTAATGGTAGGAGTCCAAGGTGACACTGAAGGAATGATGTTATGTGGCTAAGGATCTTTGCCTGAAATCCTACTGTCATTTGCACTTGTAACTAAGAATACYAAACCCATTAATTGCCTGTAGTGAACAAATATGAAAAAGAACAGTGCAGTGAAACCCTAAGACTTAGTAAATATAAACAAGTCAGAATGCTTTTATGCTRTTTCAGTTATGTGAAGTCTGGGTCGGTCTGGTAGAGCCATAAAAGCTGTGGGGCTGCTTTTGTACCCCAGCAATGTGTGYRTGGCACRGAGCAGGAMCCCARGGGGCTTCCACTGGCCAGTTTTATTTTCAGCTGTTTGAAGYGGGGAAAGAGGAGCATGGAAACTGGGAGAGTAAATGAGGAAAAATACAACTAGACTTTCTGAGGAATAAATGAGATCCTAATTTTACTTCCTCTGTAAGTGCAAATATGAGGGAGTGTTTTATTAATGGTTTTCTTTCTTCTTTGTGACCTTTTGTGATAATCAGAGCTCCTCTCACTGTAGGTCCAGGGCTACAGGATGCGACTGCACTTCGATGGTTACCCAGAGTGCTACGACTTCTGGGCTAATGCTGATTCCTCAGACATCCATCCTGTTGGCTGGTGTGAAAAAACAAGCCATAAGCTGCTCCCTCCTAAAGGTATGAAAGAAAAGAGAGTGGTGTACAAAAAACCATAAATTCTACTAAGAACTAGGTGTCCTGGCTTTGCATGTTTCATTTTTAGTGTGATTTCATTGTGGAACTCAGTCCAAGGGGCTGAAGGGAAGAGGTTTAACTAACACAGTGACTCACAAAAGAGCAAAGTATCTTCTCTGATAYTCCTGAAGATTGACGTTGTTATTCAGAGTAGAAACTCTGGTTTAGATGTCTCTGTGGGCTTCAGAACTTGCTTCTTTCCTGCATTCAATTTTGTAGAAACATTTGAAGGTTGAGATTAATGATTGGCCATTATGGTGAAAAAGAGAGCTGGTTTAGCTGAAATGCATAGCCCCTGGAGATTGGATCAGGGCAGTTATCATGCAAAGTTCATATTCTTTACAGGTAATTTCCATTTCTGAAAAACCCACCAGAATGTATCAGGGCCATGTAAMACAATCTTTTTCTCTCCCTAGGTTTCAAGGAGGGAGAATTTAATTGGACTTCCTATCTGAAGAACTGCAAAGCTCAAGCAGCTCCAAAAWGCCTTTTTAAGACCCTCAGCAGTGTAAGTGGTGATATGGAATAGAAGGGGTTTTAATAGGTTTGGTGCTAACTGAGTTTTGAACAGAATATTAATGTGGTTTTAATATGCTCTTGTCAGAGGTACAACCACGGTACAATCAGATGCAAACTATTTCCTGCTGTGTTTTGTTTTTAAGATGGAAAACTACTACAATTTTTCTTCCTTTCCCCAGTCACTGACTTTCCAGMGAAAGAATTTGTATTTCCCTTCCTCCTTAATGCTGGAGGAAAAGATTTACTGAACCATTTATTAAATATATTACAACCGTCTGTTTTGCTGTGCCGCTACAGTTGAGATATTTGTGTCACCTTCCTCTAACTTAATCATTTCCAAAATAATTTCTGKTTTCCAGCAGCATGCTCATCTGTGCCATGGGATTCATTATGGGACTATGGATCCTGAGCATTTGTCATCCTTCCCCCACTGGTGCTTTCTTGTTGGTTGTTAACCTCAGTTCCCATCAAATCCTCCCTCCCATTTCATGTTACTGTGATGACACAAAAACCCATAGGCTKGTGGGTCTGAAGCTGCACATGGACAATCACTGACTCCAGTAGGACCAGGGCCCAGCTCTGCCCTGCTTCCCACTCAGTCAGTTCTTTTCCTTGGAGACTCTCCTAACTTCCACCAGTCAAACAGGAYATGTGATGCTTATTATCCTCAGCAAATCACTGCAAGGTGTCTCAGCCTGGGACTCTGCAGTGGTGTTGTACCTGGAAATGCTGTTTTTCGAGCCAAATCAGCTCTTTTTTAGCAATASTAACAGTCATTGCCAGAACTCATGGAAATCTTGTCTGCAAACCTCTTGGTAGTAACAGTAATGTGTTTTGGTCTATGGGTTTTGGGGTCAAAGGAGTTTATAAGGGGGATTTCAATGGCTTGAAYGGGTATGTGGCTGATTTCCTTTTCTGGTGTCCTGTTCCTCAGCCTGTCACACCATCTGGGTTTCGTCTGGGAATGAAACTAGAGGCAGTGGACAAGAAGAATCCGTCGCTGATTTGTGTCGCCACCGTCATGGACATGGTGGAAAACCGGCTGCTGATCCATTTCGATAACTGGGATGAGAGCTATGACTACTGGTAAAAGATTCTAATTCTGATACAAACCTGCAGGTAGACTGCCTTTGTTCTGCTCTTTGTCTATGGGTTATAGCTGAGATTTTAAATGCATGCACTAAAGTTGGGATCTTGTATCAGTTTTCAGGCATCTGAATAAGTACTTGGGGTTTTCACAAAAAGCCAGTTGCCAGGTTGTTCCCTTCCCATTTTGGTGCTGGTCAGCTCCGTGTAGAACCAGTGGGAGTGGCCAGAGCTGTCTGGGAAGTATTGGAGCCTTATGGTGCCTAAATGGGCTCAAGAGAACTGGAGAGGGACTTTGGACATGGGGGAATGGCTTCACACTGCCAGAGGGCAGGGTTTGGTGGGGTATTGGGAAGGCATTCTTGGCTGTGATGGTGGGCAGGGCAGGGTTTGGTGGGGTATTGGGAAGGCATTCTTGGCTGTGATGGTGGGCAGGCTCTGACACAGGGTGCCCAGAGAAGCTGTGGCTGCCCCTGGATCCCTGGCAGTGCCCAAGGCCAGGCTGGGCAGGGCTGGGAGCATCCTGGGACAGTGGAAGATGCTCTGCCCATGGCAGGGAGTGGAACAGGATGGGTTTTAAGATCTCTTCCAACCAAATCATTGCAAGATTTTTCTTTGTATTCCCCTTTCTTTTGGGACAGCTTGAATGCTTTGAAAACTTGGTGTTACACATTCTAACAAGGTAGTGCTTGTCTCTACACCGTGATCACTCCCACTGAAAGCATCTGCTCACCCAGCAAAGGCCTATCAGACAGCATTTGAAATCCTGCCTTTCTTTTTGCTTTCAATCTGACTGGTGCCAGCTTTCCTCTTTGATGCAGGTGTGAAACGAGCAGCCCGTATATCCGTCCTGTTGGCTACTGCCAAGAAACTGGAACCCCACTGATAACACCACCTGGTATGTTAAAAGTGAGACTTCTTTCCTGCCTCAGCCAAAAGCACTGCAAACTGTATCTTCCACATAATTACATATTTGCAAGTTCCAGGTTCCCTTCAGAACTCTTTACTGCCTGAACAATATTATTGTTCCTACTTTTTGCAATTTGTGTTGCTGCAAAGTTCTTTCAAGAAATGGAACAGGGTTTGGTAATTTATGATTGAATTTGATTTCAGAAAGGAAAGAGTGAGAAGGATTTTCAGTATTTCTTTCAAGGTGAGCTGAGAGAAAAAGAGATCAGTGTCATGATTTCCTAGATGGAATTTCTGGAAACCACTGAATGCTCTGGGTTGGAAGGACCCAGTCATTGAGTCCAACTCCTAAGTGAATGGTCCACACAGGGATTGAACTACAGCCTTGGCATTATTAGCACCGTGCTTTAATGAATTCCTAGATGGAATTTCTGGAAATGAAGGAGTAACTGAAGCCACATCTCTTTTTGCTGCACTGGAATTCCTAAATGAAGAGAATATTGGCAAATCAGAGAGGACAGAACGTACAGGAAAACCAGTGTTGTTTGCAGGCCTTGGAAATGCTCATCTTTAAAATAGCAAACATAAAAAAATTAAGCCTGACATTTGCCAGACTGACAGGCCTGGAGCAAGAATTCCTTATTTACTGCATTCCAGGTTTAGTGGAGCATGAAGCACTGCAAGATCCCTCTGCACAGGTGGAATTGGCCTCAGTGCCTTTGCTGTTGATGTGGAAGGGGTTGTGAACATTCCCTCTCTGCATCTGTGCCTGCTCCAGGAAGGTTCAACAGAGCTGGCCTCTGCAGTTCTCTGCTCACATCAGGATTTCCTGTGCCCCCAACAGAACCTGCAGCCAGTTCTGGTCTCTCTGCTGAGGGACTTAAATGCAGCAGTTTGCAGACTGTGCTCTTGCATTTAGTCCCTGATCCCTCCTGCCCAAAGGAACCAATCCTGGGGGTAAAAAATACTGAAATAGAGGAAAAAAGTAGAGCAGTTTCTTAAGTGTAATGGCCAGGGAGAGACATCCCTCTGTTGTAAGAGCAGCACACCCATGGAGCCCTTTCTCTCCAGGCTGCTTGTTTCACTCAAGCAGGCAGCAGGTGAGAAGTTTCTACAGTCTTACAGGCACTCACCCATAGAGTAGTTAATAAAAAAAGAAATTAATTTAGTGATGCCATTGCACATCACAGAATCCTATGGCTAGCTCTTAATTGGTGCTTTSTCTAGAAAATAAGAATTGATTAAGYTATACAGAAATGAATTGSCCAGGGTTAAAGCCTGGTGTAAAACTGGGGAACTGGTGGTGCTGCTCTGTGTGCTAGAGGTGGTGGGTGGGAGCAAATAGGCTGCTTCCAGCACTGTCCATTGTAGGTGCCTGGCATAGTCAGGTGTTATGGAGCTGCCTTTTTGTTGTGTGTAACAATAAACGGGGGTGTTTTCCCACCTAGATATAAATTCTYTGTTTTTTTCAGGATACAGGGATTCCAAAGCCTTCTCATGGGAGAAATACTTGGAAGAAACAAATTCCCAAGCAGCCCCAGCAAGAGCCTTTAAACTGGTGGGTGAATCTCTTTGACTGTCCTTGCTCAGGTGCTGTTATGCTCCCTTTTTTTTGCAGGAGGCTTTATTTGAGCGTGGTTCGCCTTGTCTGTACCAGGAGAGTGAAACTGTGGTTTCCTTTAAGATCATCTCAGTGCTGCTAAAACAAAAACACACAACAAAATACAATTTTTTTTTTAAAAATACTATGGAAAGCTGGCTTGGAAAGGATTTTTGACTAAATATCTTCAGTGGCTCCTTTAGCAGATTTAAGGGAAGAGCCTTCAATCCACACAGGTGACTGTGGCTTCCGGAGAAATGTGGGAAGTACTTCACAGGGGGCACAGAGAGGAGAAAGAGTTTCCCCTGGACGTGAAGTTTTAAAAACCTCTCTAAAATAACCTTGCAGTTGTGCAAATCTGTATTTCCCTGGCTGGTGAGGCTGGAATTAAGGTAAAGACGTTCATATCAAGGATTTACGTGTTCTTATATAGATCATAGTTGTTCTGGGGAGGAGCCAGCTGTGCCCTCYACAGAAATAAGAGTATTAGCAGATGAAAGAGCATCTCTGCCAACCCCCTGGGTGCCCCAAGACCATCCTGCAGATTCAGTATGAAGGTGCTTCTCAACCTTGGGATTGTGAGCTTTTGTTTCATTGCAGTTTGTTTTTCTGGAAACTCACTGTGAGCAGAAACAAAACAAAAAGCTTTAAAATAACTCCATAAGTACATTTAGATTGATTTTTTCCTTCCATGCTGCTGGCTCATCTTGCTAAACTTTGCAGTAYGTTTAAAAACTCTTCCATGCCATCATATTTTTGGGGTGTAAAATGTGGTACAATGTCATCTGAAATGTCATCTGAACGTTAAGAGGGCTTTGCTCAGGACAGGGAGCCTRTTCAGTACTGACAACTCCCATTTTTGGATTCTTCCAAAGTGAAATGTCTCCTCAAGGGGGATGCAGCTGCCTCCTTTCCTGTTTTCCAGACATTTCTGCAGCCATGGTTCTGCTCCTTTAGGTACCAGACTTTAAGGCAAGAGTMGAAGGACCAATTCTGACTCTCATGAAACTCCAGAGTGCAAATTGGCATCTAAAACTGTGGTTCAAAAATGAGGTAGCAAAGAAAAGGTATTTGATATATCAGCAGTTAATAGAACTCTTTCAAGATCAAACCTTGTTATTTTTCTGGCTTGGTTGGACTGAAGAAGTGCAAATAAATGGCAAAGCTATTGATTTTAAAAAAGTATTATTATCATTCCAGCTAGCAATTACAGGAAATCAGTACATAAAAATGTGTGTTGAGAGCCAGAACAGGCATTTCTTACTGAATTAACTTTAAACAATTTTAAAGAGCTGTGTTATGTAGTCTGGAGATGCAGGTTATCAGCACAAATAGGTGTTGGGTCTGGATTTCTGCCCTCTCCACCCAAAARCTCAGGAGTCAGCTCCATTGTAAGCATTGCTATTTCAGCCCATCTTCTTGCCCTGGTAATTCCAAAGCATTCCTAACTGTTGCCAAAAGGGCAGCACCCCTTCAGCAAGGCTTAAACAAAGAGCCTGGCTTTTCTTCTGGATAGGGTTTGGAGCTTGAGCATTGGGCTTCTTCCCAGAGAAGACAGACAGGGTTGGCTGGTTCARTAAGATGCTCTTAAAAATAAAACCAGTTTAGATTGTCTGTTTTCTGGTGTGTCCAGTGTCTGACAGCACATGAATAGATGTGTGTGTCTGGGTGAAACGACTAAAGAGGAACTTCAGGTTTGGAGTTAAACCTCTTAGCTCAGGAGTGGATCTCCCTCATGCCCACAGCCATTGGCAGTAAAAAGGGTAAGAAGATTGGGAGGGAAAAGTGATTATAATAATTTCATTCCTGGTCATGTTCAACCAGACAATTTATCATTTCTTGCTGAAATCCTGACCTCTGTGTGCAGAAATGAAGAGGGGCATGTTTTGAATGAGCATCCATAACCCCCAGCTGAAGAGGTCAGAGGAGGAATTCATGGTCAGATAAATGGAAAAATGGGTAAAAGCTGTCTGTTGCTTAGATGTTGCATCTGGGTACTGCTGAGGGCACACATTCAGGTCAAAGGACATTTTGGAGTTTTTCCAAAGTTTGAGGGAAAGGGTGAGTAAGCCATGCAGGGGAAGGCTCAGGCCGGATCTGCTCTGAGTCCCAGCATGGCAGCTCCCAGCAGCTGCTCACAAACAGCACAGTTGTTTGATAARGAGCAGAGGGTGACCTGTGTAATGAGGGTAACTGTGATATCCAGGGGCTGGAGCTGATGCCAGCAAGGATGTAGGGTAGTGAAGAGAGACTTCACCCAGTGGTGTGTTCAGCTGTGAGAAATGGGGAACTGGCCACCGTCCTTGCTGGTGTGTGAGATCACAGAATAGTCAGGGTTGGAAGAGAGGCTGGAGAACCCCTCTCAGTCTCCTCTTCCCTAGAAGACCATGTCCCTGCTATGTAGGAGGTTTGTGGGAGGCTGAGAAGTTCGTGTCAGTGGAGCTCTTGGTGGTACCTGACCTTTTCCTGGCTTGGAAAACTCCTCTGTACTGAGCCACTTCTGGCTGCCTCTCCAGTAGTTTGGGGCTTGGGAACTCTGATTTTAACCTCTTGTAAACGCTCATTTTTAGCTTCTAAACAGTCTGCCATGTGGGATAACCTAAAACTCCAAAGGCATTTAGGGGTGGATGGAAACTGGAGCACATTTCATTCAGAGCAGGTACCTGCTCTGAACTCCAGGGCTTTTTAGCATTCTGCTTACGATCTTCTCTTCCAGCGTCCTCTTCACGGATTCCAAGTTAATACAAAGTTAGAGGCTGTGGACAGACGAAATCCCATCTTGATAAGAGTGGCAACAATCGTTGACAAAGACAACCATCGCATTAAGGTATGACCTTGCAGAGGCTGTGCCGGGCGGGCACACAGGGTTGGGCACACAGGGACAGCATCCCTTTGGAACCAGGAGCAGCCCAAAACAGCCTGGCAGCTGCTGTGGCCTGCTTGACTGGAAATGATTCCTGTTGCTTTGAGTCAGATGGAACTGCCTTGGTGTTAGTTACTGTTCCGTGGAACYGTTTTGAACTGACACTTGACTGTGATTTCCCATCTCTTGGCATTTTCTGTGTGATCTCTGTGACTGAAGGCAGCATGAGTGTTCTGCTGGGGGAAGCTGCCTGACTGTCTTTCTTCCCACCAGAAAAAGAAAACCCAAAGCAATTTCAAGACTGTTACATGTGGGAAGTGGCCCCATTCTCCAATACAAATTTGTCACATAAACGCATTTTTACTCAGTCTTTTCATGCAAATATATTGCCTAAATAATCTGCTTTGGCTTCTGAGGAATTAAGTATGAGACAGCTAAAGTTGAGGCTGCACTACTGGAGGCTTCATGGCCACAGATCTCCTTCCCAAAGGATGATTTCGTGGGTTGGAATGGGGTTCACTCCCCATTATTCCCTTGTTTCTCAGTCTCATTGCTGTGAGCCAAGCTTTGCCAGTCCATAGTAGCAYGACACTCAATTCAAATATTTAAACTTCATTGCATGAACATCCCAGTAGCCTTTAAACTCCAGTAATCCTCAATTAACCTGATCTGGATCTGAGCTAGCGATTACCAGTCTCTTCATCCAGCAGAAAATTGTAGCTTGTTCACTGCAAAACTCACTGAACTTGATGGCCTTTGTGGTGTTATGGGATTCTCAGAACACAAAGCAATTAAATAAGCATTTGTGTTTGCATAGCTTCAGACTCTGAGTATAGAGCACCCCACAGGATGTGGGGTCATAGACCATGTCACCAGAACCTGGCTGTTCTGTAAAACACAGATGCAGGAAAACAAAGTGTTAGACTATGCACAGAGTTGATTGTGCCTGACTGAAAGATTGATCTGAAAGATTGAATGAATCAGCCCCAAGCTGAGCAAGGTGAAACAAAGTGGGATGTTAATATAGAAGYTGAGTCATGCCCTGAACTGTGTCTCTCCCTGAGACTTCTGTTTCTTTCAGATACATTTTGATGGCTGGGACCATCACTATGATTTCTGGGTGGATGCAGACAGCCCTGACATCCATCCTGTGGGCTGGTGTGACAAAACTGGACACACTCTGCAAGTACCTCTAGGTAAATACAGGGCACCATGTTTTTATGCTGGATAATTTCCTAAGTGCAGTCTGTTCCCCACATGCAAATTTATTTAACTTCCTTTCTTTGCTGYGATCAGGTGCTGAAAATGCAGAGGGAGCAGTGGGACAGGCGTGTCCYACTCCGGGGTGCCAGGGGATCGGGCACGTGCGGGGCCCCCGCTACGGAACACATTACACGTACGTAGATAAGTGCTGCTGATAACAACAATAATAACAGTGCAGCACCAGGCAACTGCACTGCACTGACATTRTCTCAGGGTGGTTTTTCTGGAGATAGTTGTAGCTGCAGTCACAGCTCCCTCTTGTGTCTAAGTGGGTTGTTCAGTCATGAATTCTGTTTATACCACTGTAGTCGTTAGAGCTGCAATACAAGCAGATTCATTCACTCTGATTTCTACATTCCAGCAGCACTGAAAATGTTCTTTTTGTGAAGTAATATACCCGTGAACAGCATGCAAGAGTCAGTTAAAGAGGGAGAGGGCATGGGTAGGATGTTRAAGTATCAATGAGGAGAGCTGACCCATGTTTTGTGGTCTGCCTTTCGATTTCTTGTGTGCTCTTGGAAAAGGAAGTTTTTTCTCAGATGGGATATCTGAAGACATGGTAGTTTATAATGTAGTAAAGGGCCTTGAATTTTTCACACTGAAAGTTGCAGAACTCTGGTGATTGATGAAATGTTGTTCAGATAAKCAGGTTACAGAGGATGAACTCTTCTTGTCCTCTGAGGTGGCTTTTTAACAACTCGACTTTGGTTTTTAATTCTGCTGTATAATTCCCTGCTTTCCCACACCTAAAGCTGGGTAACAGCACCTTCTGAGAGTTTATGGCCTCTTTCTCTCTGGATTTGTGATGGATTTCTCTGCCAGAGACAAGGAAGACTGTCTGACTGTAAAGCTTTCATTGCCCTCTCTCTGTCYCTTGTTTCTCTGTCACAGCTTAGTTGGCTGTCCATACTCTGATGTGAACCTCAGCAGAGAAAACCTGTTACAGGACCGGCTGAGTGGGGAGAGACCTTCCCCTGGGAACATGCAGAAAGCCAGGAGACTGGAGACTCCTGCCCCATTGCTGGGAGCAGGGGAGCCTTCCCAGGGGGACTCTTCACAATCCAGGTGAGCTGCATCTTATCTTGGCCAGATACTGGGAAGCAAAACCATTTACAAGGATGAAAACCACTGCAATTGGCAGAGAAGCTGCAGAGCATTGWGTTCATCTGTCTGTAATATTGACCTGTGCCCCAGACACTCTTAACACAGAGCAATGCACTTTTATACCCTCATATGCCTTAATAAGTTTCTTGATTCCTTAATCCTGGTGCTCTGGTCACATTCCAACAAAGGAAATTGCATTCTGTCTCCATAAATTTTTCCTTGCTGTCTCAATTTAAAATACTTTTTTTTCCTTCGTTTCCTGTCCTAAAACTGTCAAGCAAAGGTTATTTTGCACTGTGAAACTGGAATCATGACCCTGGGTTGGCTGAGCATTGTGTGTGTGTGTCCCTTAGCAGCAAACGAGCTGAGCTCTCTCAGATACTTTGTTCTTTTACAAGTAAATCTTACAATTGAGCAGCATTGAAGAAAACTGCTTTAGTTCTTGGAGTGCAGAAGTCAGTTAAACCTGTCATGGGACAGACCAGGACATGAAGGATTTTATTGAGATCATTTTTAACCCTCACAAATCCAGTGTCAGTAGGGCAAACTCCAGCAATACTTTTTGCTGTATATGAAGGTTTATCTATATCTTAAGTTCATCTATTTGTTTAGATTTCTAACATTCTAACATCAAGATCGATTTGTCCAGCAAAAAGGAATGAATCTTTTCTCTCCCTGGCTTTCAATGGCCAAATTGCCTCCTCCCATCCCAAAACTATGCAGGCATCTTCATTTCCCAATTTCCACACCAAAATTGATTGTATTTCAGTGGCACTGTTACCATAATGCTCTCTCAGGAGATTTGGGATTCTCACAGAATAAATAGCATTCTAGAATTGTAATATATTCTTTTAAGTATTTCATTTCCTGATAGTGGGAGGTCTGAATTCAGCCTGTAAATCTGGTATCACCCTGCTGCTTGTCCTTCCTTGGCCAACTCTGTAGTTCAGTTTATGTATCAAGCTTAGTCATGGAAACTCTTACGTTACCCAGAGGTATCAAGATTCAGAAATGTTAAATCTCTTGCTTGCACCGTAGCACAGTGGTTTCCTGTARCTGCTGGGATCAGAGCCTGAGTCCACAGAGGCTGATTTATTTCACATAATCTCTCTCAATCCATGCAGAAGAGGAACAAAGCACTTTGTACTTATGGAATGGAAAGTTCTGCCACAAGGTGGTGGTTGTTGCACTCACTTGCCAGGAGCAGCCAGCTTTGCTCTCCTGTGGGAAAAGGGAACAGAGGATGCTAGCTCAGCTGTTGTCATTTATGTATCTTTCCAGAAAATCTGCACCAGACAGTGAAAAGTGGTGTCAAAGCAGCATCCACATTCCATCAGAGCAGTCGGAAAACAGTCAGGAGAGAGACTGGGGAGGGAAGGATTCCTCTGCAGACATCAAAGCCACACCAAAAACGTAAATAAGATTTTTGTGATGTATTTCATGCATTAACAATTGTGTTTCTTGATGCTGCTGCTGTGTCTGAAATAAAAACTTAAATAACAAGGAGCCAAATTTGATCAGAGTCTTGCAGCTAATTGTTTTAGAATGACATGGTAAATCTCCTCCCTTCCTCCTGATGTTCTGGGCCCTTTCTTTCCTGCACTAAACTCTGATCTGATTTCTGGCCATGAATGTAATAGCCCTTAGCTCAGAGAGAGGTCAGAGATGGAGCTATTGCTTATTTTAAGAGGTAAAAGTTTTTAGTTTCTATAAATCCCATTAATCTTTGTATAGAGAAGAAATTACATCAATTTTTGTATCTTCTGAAATGTTTTCTAATTGATGCTTTCAGGCTTGGGTGCTCACATGCCTTTATCAAGTTCCAGCTGGTGAAACAGAAAAGCAATGGGAAAGGTTGGTTGAATTTTGCTCCTTTTTTTTTCCATGTGTGCATATCTCTGCAATATCCCCACAGTCACGAGGAGCATTCAAAACTTCACAGCTTTTTCTGGCTTTGATTCCACTGTCAAGAGAAAGCACATGCTGGAGGTGATGGCAATGGTAGTTTTTCTTCCTTTAAAATGAGGAGAAAGGGTAAAATTACTTAGAAGTGAAAGGTTTAATAYATTGTAGAGTGGAGCCTTGTATTGATTAACTGAGAAGATAAGTTTGCACTGGTTTCTGTGCCACTGCAAACTCCTCTGTAGTGGCAGGGGGTTCCCAAACAGTCTGTGACCTGTGCCAGGCTGTGACAGAGCCAGCACAGGGGTCAAGGGGAGGCTGGCTCAAAACTCAGCAGATATTTGAGGTTCCATCAGCCCCTGGTTTTAGCCCCTCTTGGGTATTCAGAAACATGTTCTGGATTRCTGGGGGACTTTTTTAAGGCTCTCTTAAGGATGAAAAAGAAAATGAAAAATTAAATGGAAAAACAGTGGGGTATTTTTCCTGGTACTTGAYAGGTTAAGTTTTCAGAGTAGCTTTCTGCTATCACTTTAGCAAACCATATGCTTAACTTTCAGATTTACTATAAAAAGCCATTTCAGAGAACAGAGCTGACCAGGCTTTTAGGAGGATTTAACATGGTAATAAGTCTCCAATCAAAAATAGCTAAGCAGGCACAAACTGGGACAGGTGCCTGGCCTTTTTTTTTTTTTTTAATACTCATTTTAAATACTCATTTTTTTTTTTACCTAGTGCTGAGTTCTGCAGTCAGAGCTGAGGGATCTGCCAGCTCCAAGCTGCAGTTGCAGCTGGCAGTTGCAGGTGGCTGCTCACTCTCCCTTTGCATTCACCTTCCACACAGTGGTGGAAATCAGGGGAGGGAAATGCTGCAATAATCCACTGACCTATAATTTCACRATTACCCAGAACTTTCCTCCCAGCTACATTTATACTGTGAGATMATTGCTGCTTCCTCAGAGGAAAAGTCACTTGTTTAGGTCATGGTTTGGATGCTTATTCCAAGGATTTGGACTTAGTGAAGGAAAGGAATTGGTCTGAGATCAAAGCAGTGCCCACCCAGCAGGGRTGTGGCCCTGGGGGCAATCTTGGGCATGAGTGGGATCTCAAGGAGCAGGTGGTGGGGACAAGACCGACTCCTGTCTGTCCCCACCACTGTGGCAGTGAAGCAGGGGAGAAGGGGTGATGGTCCTCTCAGAAGCAGTGTCCTGTGCCCTCTTGTCACCAGGAGCTCCTGAACTGAGAAGTTCCTAGTCAGACTTTATTTACCCTCCCTTGGTCTCATTATTAGAAATGTGATGCAGTCTCATGTGCTTTAGGGCTGCAGAGATAAGCTGAGGGGACTCCAGGGCCAGTGTAGTGTTTGCTAGGACAGGCTTTACCTCCAGAGCTGCTTTCTCTTCAGCTGGGGGGGAGCTGGCAAACCACGGGAATCTGCTTTTCCTTTGTGTTTCTTTACTTTGTGCTTTTCACATAGTGACTGCCTCACTGCCCAGATCTTACACCCCAGCCCAATGAGAGCAGCAGCAGTGGGAGCAGCAGGATAGGATAAAGGCTCGGATAAAGCAGGAATGCTGTGTGGATGCCACAGAATGGGGCCGGGGCTCAGGGGCAGCCCCCCATCACCAGAGCAATGTTTCCCAGCTTGTTCACATCCCTGCCTGGCTTYCTGTTGTATAACAGCAGCACGTTCCTGTAGGACCATGACTCTGCACTGCTCCAGTGATCTCATTAGGGAGGGGTGATTTCTTCCTCCTTTTTTTGCCTGGTTTTCAAAGCTTCTGTCACTTGACACATGAGGAGGGAGTTGATGTCTGGAGGTAGCATGAGCACTTCTGGCCTGGGAGTCTTGTGAGGAGCGAGCCCAGGCCATGCTGGCAGCACAGAGCTCTGGCTACAGCTGGGGCTGGAACGGTGCCATCAGTTCCCAGCCGAAGATGCTGTTACCAGAACTCCTCCACCTTGTCAATAAAATGCTGCAAACATCTTCTCTGTTAGCAGCATGACATCATTTTCCAGGGAAGAAGCTAACGATAAAGCCTTCAGCCTGGCAATCTTATCTTTTTTTTCCCTTTCTCCTGCTCAGGAGGGTGGGGAGAACGCCCTGAGAGCTCAGTGTGCCACGCAGTAGCCGTGCCTGGCTCTGCTCACCCTTCAYTGCTTTCCCCTCCAGGCTGTGACCCTTCCTCCTGCTTTGTTTTAGTTGCTCCTAYTTGGAGCCTGGCTCTGACTCGTCTYCTTTCCTTTCCAGGCCCTGATTTGGATCTCCAGCAGGCCCTCCACCAGTCTATCTTCATGCCTTCCCTGGCCTCTAACCCGACCCACCGCCTCCATCTCTTCTGGGAGCAGCACTGCCGGCTCTTGCCAGAGGTCTCGGGCCTCACAGCCAAACAAGTTGCCAAATGGACTGTGGAGGAGGTGAGTTACCTGTTCCTTGTTCACTCTCCAGGGCTGCAGGAATGCCAGAGCTCTCCTCCTCTGGAGTGCTGATTGGGAGACATTTTTATTTCMTTGCCTTCCCTAGGCAGTGCTCTTCTGTTGTGTGCATATACCACAGCTGACTCAGCTGGAAATCAGACCAAGACCCTTTATCAGGGAGGGGAAGGATCCCTGTTAACCCTCTGGTATCCACAGCTTATTGCCCTCTTTCCCCTCTTGATTTACCCCTTGATCCCTCAGGCCTGAAGCACCATTCTGACAGCGATTCCCTTTCTCTGATCTCCCTCCCCCTCTGCTGTGACTTTGCTGCTGATTCACTTTTCCAGTGCAGAGAATTCCAAACTGTGCTGTGCATGCCCACTCCTCCTGCGTCTCCCTGCCTGATTCCCTGGGAGCAAAACTGCCCACAGGCTGACCTGATTTCTCACAGCAGAGGTATCTGTGCAGCTGGAGATGTCTCTGCAGCTCTTGAGATGTCTCCTGTAATTAGGTGGTGCGTGAAAAAGCCAGAGTGTTTTGTGTGCTGAGTAGTTTGTTTTTGCCTCGATGCCTTGGGCATAAATAATATTTGTCTCTGCGCTTGGGAAGTGGTGACAATTTGGATCCTGGTGCATAATTGCAGGGCATTTAATTCCAGAGAAATTTGCTGTAGTGTTGTGCTTGCAAGGATGCAGGGAATCTGCAAAGCAGGAAAAAGGTGCTGCTGTTCATGATGCAGAGAGGATCTTCAGAGACTTTCAGAAAGAGCATTTTCCCCAAGTGCCTCTTAATATGGGATAAATCCAATCTGGCTTTGCTCTTCATGCTGGAGGAGTGGTAGGAGTCTGGTGGAACTGCAGTGACATGAGAGATGGGAACCACAGGAGTTGGGAAAGGGATGGAGCAATTAGTGTTGATGTTTTAAACCTTGCTCCTTTTTTTCGTTGGGTTGTTTGATAGTGGTGTGGGGTTATGGTGGTTTGTTTTCTTTTGTGGGTTTTTTTTTGTTTTTGTTTTTTTTTTTTTTTTTTTTTTTT